TTGGCTGGGATAGAAAGAAGGGGGTTGAACATAATCGACAAATGCTGGGAAGGAGGGGAGGCCAAAAGGAGAAAGGAAAGATAACCATGTGGGAACGTAGACCTAATGAATAGTATTACATTTGGATCCCTAAATGTCAGGGGACTTAATATCCCACAAAAACGCTCACAGGTATTAAATGATATGCATATTCAACGAGTAGGAGTTCTCATATGAGTAACTACACTCAGAGTAAATCCCGAGGTGTGGCTATAGGTTTCCATGCCTCATTACCAGTAGTAGATATTCAGGAACGGGGGGACGATGAAGGGAGTTTCCTTTTTGTTAAATGTTTCTAACGGGCGTCTTTTATAGACAATTTGTTGGAGAACTGGCCCCAATATTATTGGAAGTGTTCAATTCCATTGGTGATGGGAGCAGGTTCCCAAGTCAGAGCCAAGAGGCCTATATAACATTGATACACAAGGATAAAAAGGACCCCACACAGTGTGCGAGTTACAGGCCGATATCATTAATAAATGTAGAAATGAAAATTTACGCAAAAATTCTGGCTTTACGCATACAACCATACCTACAAGAAATAATCCACCCAGAGCAGGCAGGCTTTGTTCCCGGGCGAGAGATAACACTATTAAAACTATCTCCCTGATCCAACAAGCTCAGTCGAGGAAAACTCCTCTGTGTCCACTATCTCTAGACGCAGAGAAGGCCTTCCCTTCGATATTGGAGGAGATTGAGAAATTTGGGAAGGTTAGTAATTACCGTATTAATGCAAGTAAATCACAATGCTTGGATATTAACCTACCAAGGGGAGAAAAAGAGATCCTGAGCACTAGCTTTTCCTTCATATGGGCACCAGAAGCGTTGAAATATTTAGGGGTTTACATCCCAGCTGACTTGAGGAAGTTATACTTGTTAAACTATGCTCCTCTGCTGGAGTCCACGCGGATACGCCTGGGCAGGTGGGGGGGAAACAACACTCTTGGCTTGGGAGGATGTCCATATTCAAAATGGACGTCCTCCCAAGATTCCTCTACATCTTTCAGACGGTGCCAGCGATCCCCCGAACATTCTTTCGAAAACTGCAATCTATGCAGACACGCTATGTATGGAATAAAACAGGAGCTCGCCTAAGATATGACATACTGACTAAAAGAAAATTGGATAGTGGGGGAGGATTGCCTCATATGGAAATATATTACCAAGAGGTGGGCCTGAGTAGATTGCTGGATTGGTTTACTGGGGGAAACCGGAAGTTGTGGGTGTCGGTGGAACAGGCAGAGGTGGATATACCCCTGACGTCTGTTCCGTGGATACCCCCAATTAAACGAGATAAAGGCTGGACTAGATCTCTGGTAATTTTTTCAACATTAAAAATATGGGATGCATTGGTAAGGAAATGTGAACTGTCAACATACATTGGCCCACTAACACCCATACTAGGGAACCCAGATTTCCCATTCGGCCTGAAGCGTAGAAGATTCTTGATTTGGGAGACTACCAGACACTCCCCAATTATAGAAGCTATAACAAAGAAAGGAATACGACCACTCTCGGAATTGCTCCCGATGAATCAATCAAATAAGGGTAGATGGTTGGAGTACCTCCAATTGAAACACTTCTATGATGGCTTCCCCACAGAAGATGGAGTGCTTAGAGATTTAACCGCTTTTGAAGAGATATGTTTAAATAAAGCAGGCGATAAACATATGGTGTCTAAGTTGTATAATCTTATATTAAAACAGATGTTTCCAACATTGCCCTTGTTGGCAAGTGTGGGAACAAGAGCTAGGTCATGTACTTACAGAGGAGGAGTGGAGGAAGATCTTTTCCCTAACTTTCAAATCAAGTATCTCTGCCCTAACACAGGAAAGAAATTTCAAAGTACTAACAAGATGGTATAGATGCCCATATAACCTATACAAGATGAACCCTAAAAATTCCAAGTTGTGTTGGTGGTGTTTTGTATGATGATGCATATCTGGTGGTCGTGCAAGATGATAAGATCTTACTGGAAATCAATCTTGGATATAGCACAAGAGCTAACGGGACTCCATGGTTTGGAGACACCTGAGGTGGCTCTGCTGTCTCTACACCATGGCTCGCTCGCTGTAAGGAAAAAAGGCCTATTGGGCCCGATTCTGGCAGCTGCAAGGGCAGTAATACCCAGACATTGGAAGTCAACCAGCTCTCCCCAGATATCGGAATGGGTGGAAGAACTAAATAACGTAATGCGATCTGAAGAGCTCATAGCCCGCTTATATAATAGACACACGCTATTTGGGGAGAGGTGGAGCCCACGGAGGGATTACATGAGCTCACAAGAGATTCTTAGATATTTATAGGGGTAAATTCAGAATAAGCCTAACGTTGGATTATTTTATCCTGCTTTGATACCTGTTTTGACTTGATGTTCCTTCTCTTCCTTTTGTCCTTTTCGCTTTCTCCTTAGCGATTAATTATACTTACAACACCCCTGATACCCTTGATTGTGTTGGAATGTCTGTTTGTTTTTTTTTGGGGGGGGGAAGAAAGGTGTTAGGATCTTAGTGTTATATGTCATTTATCTGTTTCATGGAAGTAGGAATATGGAGGGAACTACACAAAATAATTGAGATGATTCTTACTATAGGTGTTATGTCAAGTGTGCGGGAATGAATTATGTTTGTTATTTGTATTTTTATGATATGTGAAATTTGAAAATTCAATAAATAAATATTTGAAACAATTCTTTTGATTTACCCATTCTAAAGTTTAGGCATTGTCCTTGAAAGGGCTTTATTTTGAAAAAAACAGTACGGCTTTCATTATCTCTCTGACCAACACTGTGTTAACACTCCTCACATTTTTCTGGTGTGGGGCATGATAGTAAGATACAATTTAGTTACTACTGCATTCTCGTAACATAAAATTAACTTCTTTAATAAACTGGTAAATTAGATGTTTTTGTTTACAAATTTCTAATAAACTACTTTTTTAGCAATGTAAGTCTCCTTATTTTTCCATAGTTGTTAAGGTTAAATAAAGACTCGGGTCCATTCAGTCTAACCTGGGTGTGTGTGTGTTTATGTATGTGTATTGGAGTGACTAAAATTCCCATACCCCTGTATAATGTGATTCCTGAGGAAGACATATAGATGTTTTTTTAATGTGTCTATACTCTCAGCTGGTACCATCCCCTGGGAAAAAGAGTTCCACATAACTGCTCTAAAAGTAAAGAATCAATTTTTGTGATTGTAACATGTTTACTTTGCATTTAGGTGTGGAGCAGGAATGAGTTTGGGTTCAGATCAAACATGAAAGGAAGCTGCCAGTGCCATCCCAATCAGTAGTGGCAGATACATGCAAACAAAGGGGCAGTATGCGAGTGACATAATTTACCTTATATGACCACATGGCCAAATTTGGTCAATTACACTGACCTAATATGGGACCAGCATCTTGCCCCTTTATTAACATGCAGCTGCAGGGTGGAGAATGCCCTGGCTGCATCTGATTGGGCCAGCAATGACAGCTTCCTTTTGGATATAGAAACAGCCTCTATGTTGGTATGTGTTTCACTAAAACTTAAGTGGTGAGAAACAGCTACCTGCTCTTTTTTGCTTCAGTTGTACAAGCCCAATCTGTTTCATGCTCTATCAACAGAAAAAAATAAAAAAAAACATAACAGTGAATAGAAGCAGATTGGCAGGCACAAATACTTCGACCTGGACTACAGGAGTTGATTATTAAAACTGGATTGATTGGGCACTTGCAGACTGGATTATCACTACTAATATTAACACACCAGCAACCTCTCAGCTACTCAGCCTACTTACTCTGATGGTAACACACTTGATCTCATATTCTCTCACCTCTGTACTCCTTCCAATCTCACCAACACCCCTTTTTCACTCCCTGATCACAACCTTATCAGTCTCACACTCTCCTTATCATTAAGCCCCTACCACTCCAACCAGAAAACCATTACCCATAGAAATTTTCGCCCTTCTCTTCATTACTCTGCAACAGACCACCTTTAAGACAAAATCTTAACCCTTTACTGCCCAGACCTATCCACTTCTCTCTACAATAATTCACTCTCCTCTTGCATGGACACATTTGCCCCAGTCACCACTCACAGAATCAGGCCCTGTCCACTACAGCCTTGGCAGGCAGAGGATACTAATAGACTTAGAAGACACAATTGTGCTCTTGAGTGACTATGGCATAAATGCAAATCCATGCTAAACTTCAACCTATATAAATCCGCCCTCCAAAAATACAGTACCTGCCTTCACACAGCCAAACAGACCTATTTCATCACACTCATTAACACCCTTTCATCCAGTCCCCATTAACTCTTTTCTACCTTTAACTCCCTACTTCATCCCCCAACGCTTCCTTCAACCAACTCACTCACTGCCCAGGAGATTGCCATTCACTTCAAAGTCAAGATTGACACTATCAATGAGGCGGCCACTGTCCAGACATCTGCCACTTTGAATACACCTTGTCTACCACCACATTCAATACTTTCTTCATTTGATCCAGTCACTGCTAGCAAAGTAGCTACTCTTTTATTCAACACCCACCTAACTACCTGCCCACTGGACCCCATCCCTTCACAACTACTTTGATCACCCTCTAGCTCTACTCTACAATCTCTTACACACATCTTCAACCTCTCCCTTTCCACTGCCATTCTCCTTACACCCCTAAAACAAGCATTGGTGAACCCCATTTTAAAAAAGCCCCTCAATGGGGCCCACCAGTCTAAACAATTTGAGACTAATCTCCTTGCTCCCGTTTACCTCCAGAGTTCTCGAACACCTGGACTACTACCGCCTGAGCTCTCACCTTACTGCTGACAACCTCCTCAACCCCTTTTAATCTGGCTTTTGTCTGCAACACTCCACAGAAACTGCCCTTGTAAAACTAACTAACGATTTACTAACCGATTAAACCAAAGGCCACTACTCTGTACTCATACTTCTGGACCTTTCTGCTGCTTTTGACACAGTTGACCACCCACTCCTCCTCAATAAACTCCTATCCTTTAGCCTCCAAGACTCTGTTCTCTCAAGGTTCACTTCCTACCTATCCCAGCGCACCTTCAGTGTCACCTATAATTCTTCTTACTCCTCTCCTCTTCCTCTATCCATGGGAGTCCCCCAAGGCTCTGTCCTTGGGCCCCTTCTATTATCCATCTACACCTACTCCCTGGGTCAGTTGATAACCTCCCATGGCTTCCATTACCATCTCTATGCTGATGACACCCAAATCTATCTCTCTGCCTTTCAGCTCACCCCTTCTATCTCCTTGCGCATCAATAACCTACTCACCGACTTATCAACAAAGATGTCACACCACTTCCTCAAACTAAATCTGTCCAAAACTGAGCTTATAATATTTCTTCCTCTCTGTGTTCCCTCCCCCAACTTGTCCATCACAATCAACAGCACTACAATCAGCCCCTCCCATCAAGCCAGGATGCGCGGAGTAATTGATATCTGTGAGTAATTGAACAAGTATCTGTAGTTGCACTTGGTCTGGAAAAACTGGTATCAGTGCATCTCTAATGTACTGTATATACTGCATATATAAAACAAGTTATACATTAAAACAGGGATGCACAAATCCCAGGAGCTGCATAGCCAATGCTCCTTAAAAATTACAGCTGCCTCTTAACATTTGCATTTTTCTCTAGTCTAGTCTATCAGTACAATTTCAGTATCCATATCAACCATCCTATTAAACATGTTATGTTTAGTGGAAATTTACACAAACTAAACCAGCCCATGCTATGCAAAGCAACACGTTCACAATGGGTACCCCGTAGCTGTTAATAATTAAATCTCCTTCACTTCCACCACCAGGGGTAAAGTGAACACTGCCCACTTACTGGAATAGCGGGTATTCACCTTACTTCAATATAAGACAGGGGCAGAGAGGTGATTTGGAGCTCACACAGGGCTTTCTGTCTTCACTTCTAGTGACCAAGGTGAGTGGCAAGGAAAAGAGGCCAATATAGGTATGAGCAGATGATGGGGCTTCCATCAAAGTGAGCCTGTTGTTTTTGCCTACATGGGCAAAATAAAAGTTCCCCTTAAATTGAAAATGCACTATGCACTTGAGACGCTTGTGTTAGAATGTTTCTGCTCCCGAGCTTTCAGGTTGTGTTGTTATTGATTATTGAGAGCTAAAATTAAAAATACCTAAAAAAAATTAGGAAATGCTGAGTGACAATGCCTTCAGAATACATAATTAAATATTTTAGAGACTTATATTTTGCAGTAAACTTTTTAAACATTTCCTAAATGTTAAAATGTTTTTTTTCCTGTTCCCTGACAATGATGACCAAAGTGGTAATGATGTGTTAAATGAACACTGAGATAATTAAACTCCCTGTAGTGTCTTTCAAAGCCAATATAACCACTTTATATTTCCACTAGTTTTCCTGAAACAGTTCAATGTAAATGGTATGCATCTGGCAACTTATGTATGCAATTTAGCTAAGCATCATACAAAAAGTATATGAAGTTCACATGTAGAATTCGCCATGCACATCTACTTAAAAAGATTGTCTAACAAAAAGAAATGTCTCTTTTTCATTGCTTGTGGGATATGACTACATGAGGAGCCTCCATATGTCTCACTGTTCTGAATGGCTGAAGTCTTACCTGTATTGTAATAAGTCCTATAGTGTACATGCTATTTATTTTAATAATGTGAGTGCAATTGTTTACTCTTGCAGTGCCAGAATAAATCTGGTCTGCTACAAGCATTGGCCCTTTTGCCTAGGGGACATGTTCCAATCATATGAGTTAATATGGGGTGATTAAAGAAATATGCAGACATCCCTTGCTGGATTGATGTCACTGTTTTGGTAGCTCTGTTCAAACATTGCAGCTTAAATTATTTCACTCATTAACACATCCACTTTAGACTAAACTATTAGCAAACACTCTGCATTAAGTTTAAATCTATGAATAAAAACTTTTTGGGGAATTAAAAAAAATACGTAATATTGAAAGTTAAAAGAAAGGTTATCCTAACATCTACCTTTCACCTATTATTAGTCATCTTCTCCAGGCTTCCCCACTTATATTGGAACAGTAGGTCTAGTCAGTATCTAAGCTTATGGTAATTAAGAGTAAAGGTCCCTTTACCCCTTTGCTTCCCTATACCCAAAGTACCTGGTATATCTGAGGACTTAGGCAGACAAAAAGACTGAAGAAGAAAAACAGCCAAGATCAGTCTTGGTGGGTGGTGGGAGTGGGGGAGGATGATTGAGAGAAACTGTCATGTTCTTCAAAATGGGCAAAGTGGCACATTAAATTTAATTAATATTATTTGTTCTTGCATCTAGCAAAAAAAGGAAAGATAAAAGAGTACAATTAACAAAAAACACCGTAGTAATTCTGCAGTACTGTACATTATAATCACGTATTGCTAATTCTTTAGAAATAAATGATAGATAGATAGATAGATAGATAGATAGATAGATAGATAGATAGATAGATAGATAGATAGATAGTCATTTCAAAACTACAAATAAAACTAAACAAAGGTTTTCTAGCTAATTATACCTCACATTTATGTACTGTGACTATTTCCTTTTTTTATTAAATCATAACTTTCAATGTAAACAACTAAGCGTTGCAGTTTGCTAATATGAATGATGTAGATAAGAGTAATTTATTTATTTTAAGATTCCATGTGCACAGTAAAGCAACAAATAAAGCATATAATACGTTTCACTAGAGTTTCATACAGAGAAAAACACAGGCAGAAAAATAAATTAATGTAAAATCTGCTCATGCTGCCAGCCAGCATCCAATAACATTAAAGTAAATTAAAGATAAATGATGGAAAAAAGCTAAGATCTGAAATGTTTCAGGCTGCCACAGGTTTGATAGTCAGCAACAGTGAAATGCACAAAAGCCACCGAGTGTGGTGCACTTGATTGATTGCAGTTCACAAAGAAAGAGATCGGCCAGTCAGGGGGCATATTAAGATAAATGCAGAAGTTAATTTTTTTTACCGTATAAAAGATTGTATCGCAGCTGAAAAAAATGCAGCTTAGAAAAGCTCCTGGATGAAAAAAACACAATACAAATCCTGTGGCAATCTAAATGGGAAAAATAAAATAATGATAGAGAGTTATAAAACTAACTGAAAAACAGCAGGGCTAGCAAACGGAGAGTTCTTTTTTTCTGATTCTTCTATGGCTAATGTTATTATTTTTTACCACAATAAATATTAATGTATCTCTAATTTTAACTTGGGTAGCACAAGTGCTTGAGTTGTACAATGACTTCTATGTGGACTTAGAAACTCATAAGAAACACATTGTGCTGAGATAACAATGCAATGTCAATTCAGTCTGCCATTGCAGAACATTGGTTAGCACATTAAAAGTGTAAACTATAAAGTCAGAAACTCCACACGGCTTTTTTGTTCTGCTCTAGAGATGTGAATGAAGCACTGTTTAGTACATGAAAACTAGTGCTGTTCCAGAGAATTGTGAAGAGATCTTAGGATAATTAAAAGATATTAGTGTTAGATAAAAGTTTTACAGGGGAATAAAATTACCTAGCTAACTAAAGTGTAAAAATGCAACAATAAAAAAAATATTATTAAGGCTATTTTGTGTATTATTAGGCATCATTTCAATATTTTTTTTACTGCTCCATGTACCGTTTTTTTAGAAACTAAAAGCCATATACTATAAGCAACATATGACCATCTGGAGCAAATTGCAGGTTTGCACTTTGGAGTGCAATCCCTATATTGACTTTCATATGCATAATAGGGAACATTTCTCAACAGTATTGTAGTTATTGCTTCATTTGTGAACCAAAAATGAAGGGGGTTATTCACAAAAGGGAGAAGAGTTTGTAGAAGGCAGGGGAAGTAAACAATCTAGGCCAAAATAGATCATTTGGAAACATTCTCCAATTCAACTCACTTTCCAGGTCAGCTGTCTTGTCCTAGATTTTTCACTTCTCCTTTTCCTTCTCAAAACTATTCACCCTTTAGGAAATAATCCCCTAAATTTTTAGAAGAAGGCCATATAGGCAAATGTGAACAACTGGGCAGAGCCAGCCATGATGTCAGGTTATTTGAGGACACTGTGCTGTCACTAAATTACAACAAATGGATGGAGCCAGCTGACTCTGTCCTTGGGCCCCTAGGTCCACCATATTGTTTATATTTTGCCGACATCTGTCAGAATGTCATTTTGCAGCGGGAGTTCGTCGTGTGATGACAGGTCCGCAGGTGTCAGGTTTTTCTTTAATTTCAACAAGTTGTTGTTGTCATGGATTGGGACTCACGGGTATGAACTGGAGTCAGGTATGTGGACCCTTTCCACTACACTGGCAGGGACACTTAGAGAAAAGGGTCCAAGCAGTGTAGGCTGACCACTCCCAGAGCTGGAGTACAAGCAGGGAGCAGAGCAGGTATGTCAATGAGATAGTGGAAGTCAGCTTAAGCTGGAAGTTTAAATACAAGGTAGGGTGCTGCAATGCTGATTAGGTGGCATGGGGTCCCCCAGGATGTGGAATCTAAGAGCCAGACGGTATTCACCAGAGCTCCTGATGGTGGAGATGGGTTTGGCTGCGTGCTGACCCCAGGTCACAATCCCTAGGTCCACCCAACTCACCTAACAGGTACAAGGTACCAATCAAAGGTTAGGGACAGGCTAAAGACTTCCAGGGACCAAGTGAAGTACAGGGCAGCCAGTAGACAGGTATTTTCAAGGACAAAAGCGCAGTACAGGGCAGCCAGTAGACAGGGATTTCCAAGGACAAAAGCAAAGCACAGGGCAGCCAGTAGACCGGGATTTCCAAGGACAAGCCAATGGTTCAGTACACAGGAAAACTTCCAGGAATTCAGGGTAAATCACAAATGGGGGACTCGGCAACTAGCTTAGGAAAGCTTTGCTCGGGCCGCGTGCCGTTCGCTGCCCTGGGTTTAAATAGAGACAGTAAGAGGGAGGATCCACAGGATTGGCCACAAGCAGACTGCACTGATTGGCCGAGAAGCTGCATAAGAAACAGCAGGAGAGGTCGGCCGACGCCTAAAGCTTGCAGACAGGTGCAAGTGTGAGTCAGGTGCGGAGCACATGCAT